TCAAACAAACATTTCCTGTTAAAACTCCTTGTTTTTTCTTTTCTTCAGAATCCATAAATGTGTCATCGTCTGCTTTACGCGGACCATCTTGGACCATCTCATAGAGCACGACGCAAACTACATTCTGTGGAAGCTATCAAGAGATAATAAAGGTGTGATATGTCATGCCAGCTGACCAGGGGTGATGCTGGATATATTACGGCCACTTACTGATAGCATGCAGCGGACAACGAAAAGGAAAACACAAATATATTGACCACCAGTTGGGCTTAATTTGCATGACACTGCTTTAAAAACGTAATCCTTCATCGACTGAACTTTCGTGGTGCCGTCCAGTTCAGCCGACGCGTTTAAGCCACCGATCGTCCCTAATCTCCATGTTTCCCAACTCGGGATTCGGTACGGTCCCTAGTCCCCGACGTTAATTCCGCCCAACCCGCTGGAGCATGAAGAACGGGATGCCTGCACACCACCGCGTGTGACCGCCCGCCCCGTCGCGTCAGCCGCGGAGGTCCGCGGGTTTCCGCGGCGGGTGCGGCCGTATTTCCTGTGACTCAACGTGATGTTCTCCGATTCCCGGCCGCGGGCCGTGCTTTCCTCGAGCAGGCTGAGGATTCCGCGAGCGTCCTTATCCTGCGGTGGTCGGCTGTGATCGCTGGTCACCGCGCGGCGGGCTGATGACGCCAGCGTGGCGGACGGCACCGGGGTGCGGCTGCGGGTCGGCCGCCCTTGACAACGCCTGAAAATTGTGGCGGGTTGGTGCACCGAGGAGTGGCTGAGGTGAAGACAAGCACGGCGATAGATGCTGCTGATGCGGGTGTGATATGTGTTGCAAGCAGCCATGCACCTGCCAGTTACTGTTATTTCCATATTCGACGCATCCCGTCGTCATTTCGTACATGTGATGATTACTGTTTTTCACGGCCTTCTTCAAGTCTTTTTTTAGGGTGTCTCGTTTAAGGCTTCAGCACATAAAGACTGGACTGGTACACTGCCTCTTCGCCGCATTTCTCTGTTCCCGATGTCTTTTAGCTGATGACGATTCGAGGGAACGTCGTTTTGTCTTGCAATGAATGCTGGAGTAAAAATATTTCGTAAAACATTTGGTTGAAGCTTTTCAAACCACGGAGCATCATGGTTATGCTGCGCATTAGGCAGGCCAGAGGTACGGGGTTCGA